TTCAGCCTGCACAAAGCTAACAGACTAGCATCAGCTGGTCTGGGGGCTGCTCTGGCTCCATTTCCAGAGTCTTTCCCACAGCTATAAAGCTGGCGCTGCTGCTACAAGAGTTAAAACAGTGGATAAGACCAAAGGGTGGTGCCAGGGATGACCAAATGTCTTATTCTCTTTTACCTTAAATTTTGCTGTTTGCAGACCCACTACCCAAGGACCAGGTAGGTGACAAATACTAAAGATGCGGGCAAGGTGGAAGAAAAGCAAATGAAGGTATGCCATCCAAAGAGGCAGCCTCGACTGGTTCCAGATATTGAGGCCAGGCTGGAATGCCGGCCCAAATTTTCTACCCCTTCAAGAAAAGATGGGCATCAAGATGTTAGTACTTATCTCACAATTGTTAATGTGTCCATAAGTTTTGAATGGTTCAAACAAAACAATTCTGGGTTTAGTTTTTCCAAGTCTACAGTGGAATGAACATGTAACTCAGGGCAGAAACCCTTCACCTCACAAACCTCAGGCAGTTGTTGATTCAATTTCCAGAGTCTTTAGTTGAAATCAGTGCCAAAGATGCTCTGCAGGACCCAGGGAGGGATTTGCTAATTTGCTCTGGGGTGAAATGTCAATATCAATCAAGCATAAATGTAAATTACTTTCCCATGCTACCAATATAGTCATCTACCTGTTTGAAGTATTTTTGATTGATTGATTTTTAGAAAGAAAAGTGGGGGATGAAACATTGATTTGTTGTTCCACGTATTTATGCATTCATTGGTAGCTTTTTGTGTGCCCTGACCGGGGGTCAAACCTGCAACCTTGGCATCTCAGAACAACACTCTAACCAACTGAGCTACCCAGCCAGAGACACAGTCACCTATATGTTTATCAAATATCACATATTACTTATATGTTTAACCCTCAAAGTACAAAATCATACTTTCCCCCAAGGCAGGCCCAACATTGTCAATGTTCTCACGCACTAATAGCCTAACTATAGGACTTTGGTGTACGTAAAGTTTTTCTTATATGCCAAGTTCCCTATTTTCTTCGAAAATCCAATTTACATCCTTGGAACTTCAGATACAAGCTCTTGTTTTTGTCACATCAAATGAACTATTTTATTTTAAAATAAATTAATAACTCTATGCTCACTACTAGCTTCTCTCTCTCAATAGCTCTCTGATCAAGTTTTGCCATCCATTCTGGAATAATTCAGAGGTAATTAAAACTTCTTCCCTTTTTTAGCACCCTCCCCCCAAAAAAAGCTAATTTATCATAAATTGTCATGGATTCTGATTTTAAATTACCAAAAGCACAATTACCGATAGAGGCAAGGAATCTTCTTTCCAATTAAAGTGACTGATTTCTTTGCAGACCCAGATGCATTTCATTTTTAATTATGTTTATTCTGATCAAATGTGAGAAAATTCTTCATTTATTTTCCTTTTAAAGAACATGACACAAGCAACATTAATCATGGAGTGATACAAGGCTGATGCCTTGGGCAGAATTGGACATCTAGCAATGGGTCTTGTCCATTTTATGGGTCTTAGTGGCCCCTTCAGCTCTAAAGGAAGGAAACAATTATTTGTTACATCGCATATGGTAGTTGACCTAAGGGCTTGGCAAACCTTCCAGCTTCAGCTAAGTTAGATATTGAGATAGACTCATGGGGGGATGAAGACTAAGGCACATAACACAATTTCATTTCTTGTGCAAAGAACAGAACCTCCATGTTAGAGACGAAGCAGTACGTGGAAAAAACGTAAGGAACATGGGAACAATTCTTTTAATCACTTGGATGACATTAGTATGATTATGAGTTGTCAAGAACTTTGAGAGTAAAATCACACTTCAAATCCAATTAAGGGGAAGAAGTACAAATTGGAGGACCTGATGTTTTGCTAAACATCAGCCTTGTATCACTCCATGATTAATGTTGCTTGTGTCATGTTCTTTGGAGGAATATAAGGCCATCACCTTACACAGGTTCCCCAAGGCACAGCTTATCTACCAAGTGTAATCTTAATGGAAGACTAGCTGGTTCTGGCTCCCATTGCAGCCTGCTGAACCAGGAGCCCCCTTATCTCCCCTTCTACCTTCCCTCGTGTCAGCAAACTGGCTGACATTAGTTCATTCACTTGAGATGTACAAAGGTCAAGGTTTTCACTTAATAAGTACCTTACAGCAATCTGTATCCAAACAGGGACTACCCTTCGTATTTGGATTGATGCAGTTGCTGACCATTTTCCAAAGGCTTTCACAGATTTATGAGTCTGGAAGCCCTCCACGATTTGAAATTTACTCATTCAACCAGTCACATCTAATCATTTTAGTGGAAAATTAAATTGTATATTTAAGCTTTTGGAAATTAAAAAAAAAAATCCATACATGAGATTTAGAACTCTGCCTTTTCCTCCAGGCTGTTTGCAAAACTCAGAAAGACCAACCTGACAGGTGTAAGACTTTTCATTCACTAAACAGTCGTTGAGAGCCTCCTCAGGGCATGGCAGGATGCCAGATGGCATAAGAGAAACATGGCTCTCTCCTTGCTGCTCTGGTGGAGAAAACAGATAAGCAGACACCCAGTCAAGAACAGAATGAAGGTACTACAATGGGATAAAAGGGAAAAGAGCATCGTTCTGAGGGAGGACACACAGTCGGGAGGTGGACAGGTGTCTTGAAGATCGGTCTTGACGAGTTGGGGCAGGACCTCCAGGCTAATGTGTCACATGGGCAAATTCATGCCACATTCTAAGAACCATAAACAAAAGCTGCTGCGATTGCTGGGGTAAAAAGCCTGGAATTGATATCAAGGACGAGGGGAATTAATTGTCCAACTGGCTGGTGAAACATTCTGCTGAGAACCAACAGCAGAGCTGGCCATGGCAATGGGAATGGAAACAAGCGGAGTTTTAAGGAACTTGGGGCTGGTATAGACCACAAGGGCTTGCAACCGTAAGATGGAAAGTTGAGGAAGAGGCTGACTCTATTTTATGGGAACACTTAGTTGGATCCCATGGACTGGCTGGCTTTTGCTAAACATTTATTGTGGTTATTCTTCTCATCCTGCATTGGGCCCTTGTAAATTTTTTACCATCCCTGAGATAAGTGGGGGGGAATTATTTCAATCCTCCTTTTATAGATGAGAAAGCAAAGACTGGGAGGCTTAGCCCTGACTAGAGGGATGAGAGATTAGTCCAGTCCTCATTACACAGTACAATGAAGCACATAGATAGCTCAACACCATCCTACTGGCATGTTTGTGGCCCGAGTAGAACAGAGTTCATGGGACTTTACACCATGAGCTAGGTTGGAAGGTGGTTTTGCTGATAATGTCCATTCCAAAAGCCAATGGAAAGCTAACACAGTGCACTGAATCATTAAAAAACAAAACAGAAAAGCCCTGGCCGGTGTGGCTCAATTGGTTGAATGTCATCCCATACACCAAAGGGTCACAGGTTGCAGGCTCAATCTCCAGTAGGGGGTGTGCAGGAGGCAGCCAGTTGATGTTTCTTTCTCCTCTCCCTTCCTCTCGCTCTAAAATCAACTTAAAAAATAGATATTTTTAAAAAACGGATGCACTGAACTCAAGTCTTACATCTTTGGTTGAACTAAATTAAATGCCCTCTCAGATGCTATTTTTAAACTCAAGTTTTCCCTTCATAAAGTTTTAAAAAAGAACAATTTTAATAGCAAGTAAAGAAATTCACTGACAAAGGTTTAGGTGTTTTAGGACTTTAATGTCCTTCACGTACTCAACTTCAAATACTGACAATGGAAAAACAACAGGGGCAAGGATCTTCCAGAACGCACAGCATCACTCTGGTCAAACATAATTAACAACAATAGTCAAATGAACCAACGATAAGGGCGTTTAAGATGTTTTAGTTTCACGGCATAACCAGCCAACTGAAAAATAACCAGCCAACCTTCTCTTCCACCGAAATAAAAATGAATCGGGGAGCTTCTAAATCTTGTGAGGCAGCCTCCAAAGTTAGGAGGGAAGGGAGAAGACACAACTGTTGAAAACAGTCAAAACCGGTTTGGTTCAGTGGATAGAGCGTTGGTCTGTGGACTTAAAGATCCCAGGTTCAATTCCAGTCAAGGGCATATACATTGGTTGCGAGGGTATACCCGGTGTGGGGTGTGCAGGAGGCAGCTGGTCGATGTTTTGCTCTCAAGGATGTTTCTAACTCTCTATCTCTCTCCCTTCCTCTCTGTAAGAAATCAATAAAATATATTTTAAAAAAACAACTGTTGAAAACACAATGCACAATGTCAAGGACGCTAACAAATTCCCAAAGACCCTACATAGATTACTAAGAACCGCATTATCAGAAATATAAAGGCATAGAGATATAAACTATTTGGTATTAAAAACAGACTTTGCCATATAAACGTATGGTATGTTACTTTTATCTCTTTATGAGAATACAGTATTAATATCTTTAATTGGCCCTTTACCCTAGAATTCCTAAACACTCACCATGTGGTCAAGGTTGACCCGAATTAACCTCTGTGGAACGCAGGAGCCCCTACTGCTGGCATTTGGGGAAGGATCAAGATTCAGCACCTAGTAGACCCCACCCACCCTCAATGCTATGCACTCGTGGGTTTCCAGGAACATTAACTGCACTTTGTGTAAGTCCACAGGCAAGTCTGAACAGAGATCTAGCTAGAAAACATAGCAGCAAAGACAACATGAACGTGGAATTGTTAGAAAAGCTAAAGAAAGATTTTTTTAAAATACTTCCATATCAAGTCAAAATTAAGTTGTCTGTTACATTTCACCAGCTTTGCAGAACTGTGGGTATTGTGCTGTTTGTTTGTTTGCTTTTTACGTGTGTGTTTTTGTTGTTGTTGTTGTTGTTGTTTTGGGGAGGAGAATCTATTAATAAGCATGTTCCTTTGAGAAAATACCATGGTTACGTTTTTTAAGCCGTTAAGTTACTTTAAATGTGGGACATTGTTCAAGGGTAGAATATAAATTGGTTAGGATGTGTTCACAGCTGATGCATCTCCAAAAATTTCTTCATGAAGGCTGCCAGCTCCTGAGCATCCTCGATCGTGACGGCATTGTACAGAGAGGCCCGGATGCCTCCCACAGACCTAGAAGGACCAGCACCATTAACAAGAGCATCTAATAAAGACAAACCCTCCTCCCAGTCCCCCCCAGAGGTGGCTGGGAGCTTCTGACATTTAATCATTAGAAAATTCTCCCCAATGCAAAGAAAGGCTTACTGACTCACACATAACCTAGCTCAACGGGAACAGGGAGCAGGACTACTGCAGGGCACGCGTGTCCTGCCTCCCATGTGGTGAGGACATTCGTTTTTCATAGAATCTGACATTCAGCGGGAGCACCAGTGATCTGCTCTTACCCCAATCGGGGACGGCAACCCCTGTTCTATGAGATCCAATAAAGGGATGTAAGGGGAATTTTAACCAAAATATGTGGCTCTATCATGCTCTCAGCAAGGAAATCCTGCGAAGAGCTCTAGAAGCAACAGGAAAAAGGGTTATCCCTGTGACAACTGGTTTTCCCAAGTTACAGTAACTGCTCCTCCAAGCTGGGCAGGTATTTCTTATTAAACCCATTCTCTGTCCGGGCATCTGGCCTGGAGGTGTACTCACCTGTGCCCTTTCAAGGAGATCATATTGAGCTCCAGGGACTTATCGAGGAATCTTTTCTCTAAAGCGTCGTCTCCTTTGGCGTTGCCAATGCGGAACGGAATATTCATCTTGCTTCTGTTCTGGGGCTCTACCGGACACCTGAGAAACACGAAGCACGTTCATTAGTACAGCAACTTTTCTAAAATGTGCAACTGCCATTTACAAAGGAACAGAAAGAAAAAGTTTAAACATTTTCCAGATGCAAACAGGGGATTTAAGGAAAAAGCTGTGCCCCAGGACATTTGTAATCTACTTAGGGAGATGCCTCTAGCATAAGGAGCAGTGATTTAGCATTCTTCTGGATGACTTATACCTAACTTCCATGAGTCTCCGTTGCCTCATCTGAATATTGGGAATAATACTACCTCCATGTCAGACTAGCTGTGACAGTTGGGTGTTACAATGTGTATGAAGCTCACAGTAGCCACACAGCAATGTGTGGCTTTCTCTACAAGGCTGCAGAGGGGGAAAAAAAAAATAATAACTTGGCCCTCATAGTGTTTGAAAGACTCCAAAATATATAATGAGCAAGCGGTTTTCTCAAAGCACTTGTCACACTGCATTGTCTCAAGCTGTGTGTCCTCGAGCAAGTTACTAACCTCTCTGTTGTACATCACTTTCCTCGTTGAACAGTGGAAAGAGTAATGGAACCTCACATAAGGATAATGTGGCGATTAAGTGAATTTGCCAAAACTCCTTGGGATGTACACATTTCTAAATTCACAGAGAGGTAAAATCCATCGACTTACACATAAAATCCTTCAGAATTATCAATGACATCATAAATCATCCGCGATTTGATGGAGCTGAGCTTCTCCATGGCTGCTGCACCGCCGTTGTTCTTAATCCACTCCAGGACCAAGCCCATAACATAGATGCTAAAATAAAGATTAAAACAACAACAACAAAAAAAAACACATGCATTTAGTTCTGGTCTACAAAAGTGGCAAGACATTCAAGCAAACGGTTAAGTTGTACCAAAACAGTCTGTAAGATGTCACTGGTCACTTAGCACAGAAAGGGGTGGCTCCAAGCCCCAGGAAGGACAGAGGTTCCTTGGATCCTCCTGGACCCAGGGACACAAATCCCACCCCATCTGCTATTTCTGACCCTAGCTTCTCTCTGCTGGAATGGTGGCTTCCTATTTTCAGAGCATCCTTCTAATGTTCCCTGGGCTCTTGACCTCATATCTGTTTCACCATCACCCTCCTGCCTCTTTCTCCTCCCTCCCAATTCAGAAGATCCCAGGAAAGGCTCGGATAGGTCCATTAGGTCCTCTGCCCAACTATGAGACCAGAAGAGCAAGGAACCCTGCTGGATCTGCCTGTTGGCTGGGAAGGTGGAGGTGGGAAGAGCAGGGCAGTTAAAATGTCACACTTATCAACCAGAAGTTGGTTGTTCTCCCTGGTCCCGAGAGGACTAATCCTGGGGAATCTGTTAGTAAATGGCAGCACTGGGTCTAGAGTCAGGATTGTGACACAGAGCCCATGCTCTTAGCACTAAGCCACACTGCCTCCTATCTGCTGGAGGGTCCTGGGTAGGCTCTGGGGTGGAAAAAATTGAACACCTTTTGCACAAAGAAATCTATATATATAAAAGCCTAAGCGACTGTTGCAACCGGACAATAGCTATGACTCACCCTGACCATCAGGGGGCAGATGCTTAATTCAGGAGTGCATTCCCACAGCCAACCTCCTACAGTCCCTCCCCATAGCCCACTGGCCCCCATCAGTCCCCATAGGGACTGGGCAAGACAGCCCCAATAGACCCTGACTGACGGCCAGACTGAGGAGCCCCACCCATGCACAAATTCATATACTGGTCCTCTGGTATAAAATAAAAGAGCAAATGGTAAAAGTTGTACAGGAACTCTGGTAGTTCAGCAAGGGAAGGGTTAACTGGGTGGGCTGGGGCCAGAGGGTCCAAGGATGCTTGAGGTGGGAACTGAATGTCAGCAAGTGGAGGTAGGGAAGTGTGTCTTCTACTAAGGCTGCCTGTTTGCCACTTCCCTACCTCCACCTGCTGACATTACAAGGTTTGCATGAGGACGTGGGCTGGACAGGTAGGGACTGATGTGACATCTGGTGAGGAGTCTAACAAGATCTCTTTCTGAATGGCTAGAATTGGTCTACACATGGCCCCCGTTCATCTTGCCTGTGTCCCAAGTGTTGTGAGGTTTGCATAAGGGCTCGGGCTGGACAGGTTGCACAAACACACACACACATTCACACACAAGATCCAAGCAAAGCCACCTACAGGCCCATTCACTAACAATTTTCTGAGGCCACAGTTCACTGTCACCTGCAGCTCTGTTCTCCCAGGGTCCCCACAAACTAAGTGCATGTTTTTTGTTTTAATCCTCACAGTTCTACTAAAGGGTTAAACAGAATGAACAAGTGTTCTTTATTCCACCCCAATTCATCGCCAGGGCTACTGGCAAGTATTTGAAGGCCAGTTACCAGCACAGTTCAAACAAACTTCCCAGGGCCTGTGGTCATTTGGCTCTGATTTTGTAAGAAAAAAAAATAAAGCTTCCTTTCAAACTTGGACTTTTCAAGGACTTCTATGTGACAGAAAGTTCGGCAGTGTTCTGAGTGTCTTATCACCTTACATTCAGAGACGGGGGAGGGAGTTTTGCACAAATCTTCATGTCTCCGTCTAAGGAGTTTGTTCTCACTGGGTGAGCAACCATTTTCTAACATTGAACGCTTAAGCACTGAAAATGAACTCTACATTTTCCACATTAGCGACTGAGAGTAATTGTTCAATTATACAGACTTTTACTTTGTTCTCTTCCTCTTCTTTTGGGGTAAGGGAAAGCAAAGCAACCTCCAACAGTTGTCTTCGGGCAGAATACATATTTAAGCCAGTCTCTTTCATCTCCTACCTTTCCATGACTCTAATCAAACATTAACTATCCTGCCCCGAGCTGCCCAACTATCACTGTTCTGATCTGTCTGGGGGGAAATGTAGCCCCTTCTCTGCCCTTGTCTCTGGCTCAGCAGTCTCCTAAGGCAGGAAAATTCTGGGAGGTAGTTCCTGGGGCCACCTTCCTGTCCTCCCCACCCCATCCAAGGTCAAGGCCTGGGGCCACAGCTGGAGGGGACCCTGTGACAAAGCTTCTCTCTAGGACTTCCTCTATATCCCCAGGTCTGATTCCAGACACTTTCACCTCCCATTAGGCAGACTGGCCCACTTTCTCACTATTCCTGCTCATTCCCCTTAATATTAAACAGCATATTAAAGTATTCATCCCATTTAAAAAATTTATTTCACACCATAACTGGTGGAGAAGATGCCAGCCGAGCGACAGCTCCCCTGCTCCTCCAGACTGTGCTCTGATCAGAACTTGGCTGCTTTCAGGCCAATTTCAGGAGGGTGCTCTCCCCATCTCCCTCCACCTCACACACAGCCAGCGGTGGCCCAGAAAGGCTCACCTGACTGAGAGCCAGGCCCTGGCCCCACCTTCTACCAGGTAAGAGCTACCTCCTGCCATTGTGAAGCCTGGCATCTCAGCCCCTTCTCCGGGAGCCCTGCCCTTGAGGGTCCCCAGTTGTGCCTTCCCACTCAGCACCCCCAGCTCTCATTTCCAGGTTGGCCAGGCAGCACTCTTCTTCCTCCACCTGGAACCCCAGAGGTGAGCGATAGATTCAGCATCCCCACTGAACACTGCCCGACCCCTAAGAGGTATTTTAGAAACACTTCCAACCAGGGGGAAACAGAGTGGGGTTTCCAGGCCACCAGGAGTGGCAGCACCAGAACACCCCTCCCCTCAGGACCACAGGGGACACCACAGGAGGAGCTGCTCTGCCCCACGTGAGCGGGTGGAAAGCTGGCAGGGGCTCCATCAGAATCCTGACTTTGAAAACAACTCCTTCCTTTCTCTCCTAGGGCAGATCATGTGGGGGAAATGTTCTACAGGCAGCATCTAGTGGGGAGACCTCTAAGGAAGCCCCCCTTTTATACACACTCTTTAAAAAAAAAAAAAAACTCGCGCCCCTCACAGATGGTATCCTTCAAACACAAACAAATCCACCCCGATGATTCTGTTTGCAAAGAATCTGAGGTTCAGGTTCCGGAGCCAGGCTGCCTGGGCTCAAATCCCAGCTGTGCCTCAACTTCTTCACTTACAAAATGAGAATAATAATAAGAGGATCTGCCTAAGCTACTTGGGAGATTAAAGTGTCCTACACATCATGTATTATTATTTTCCGTCATTGCTGCCCTGGAAAAATAAATCCAACTGTGGCCCTTCCATCTCCTGCTCAGGCTCTGGGAACTAACAACAACGGAAACAGCAAGAAGGGAGCAGCTAACAGCTATAGCACACTCAGTGCCAGGCCCCCACTAAATGCGTTTAATAAACTCCTTTAATCCTCAGTTATTACTTCTGAAGAGACCCGCTGCACACAGAGGTTAAGCAACTTGCCTAAGGTCACACAGATGGTTCGTAGTAAGATCTCTCAGGAAACTTTTAAATCCCAGGTGTCCCAAAGGTTTTCCCAAACTGCTGGAAACCGGTCATTGCCTCACTGATAGAAAGATGTAAAAGCCTGGTCAACCTTGAAGCTCTGAAAGGTCAGAGCCAACCACTCCCTATCTAATTGAGACAAAGGTAACTGAGGCAACTTCCCTGTCTTATAATCATGTAAATCCTTACTGATATGATAATCCGATTACTACCTGCCTAAGGGCTTTAGGTGTATCCCAAACTTGCTTAAGGGTAATGGGTGCCCTCCTTTTCAATAAAAGGGAAAGCAAGGCCAGAGCCTAGGTTAGTCTTCCCACTAGAGGTGGGCTCCCGCCTGGCCCCCCATATCACCAAATTAAATTTCTTCTAGTCTCTCTTCAATTTGCACGCGGCCCTTCTCCAGAACAAGAACCCTGACACGGAACTCTGAACCACAAGGGACATGAAAGGGGTTTCCATACCAAACCCCCCTGAAGCTGGGAATTGAAAGATTGTGGGCAGGCCCAAGAGGCATGCAATGCAGCTAACAGGACCCCTGCAAGTTGGGCGGAAAAACTAGGAAGGTGTTTGTGCCAAGCCAGTATGTCTGCTGCCAAGCTTCCAGCTTCCTTGGTGCAGGCCCAGCAGGGAAAGAAAAGCAAGAAGGGGAGGCCCCACGTTTAGAAGTCCTCCTCCCAGCTTGCACTGGTTGTTTGAGATGCTGTCAGCACTTCATCTGCACAGAGCCTTGGGGTTCATGGTGAACCAAAGCTAACAAAATCAAACAAAAATACAACAAGGCTTGAAGGAAGACTGACTAAACAGCGCACAGAGGGAGCGTGAGCAGGGACAGAGACCCCTGATAAGATGTCTAGGTTACCAGGTCACCGGTTCATGCAAACCTTCTACTTCCAAGGTCACCTCTGCTTTGATGGGAGAGAGACCCTACATCGGCCTCCAGGTAGCACAGGGGGTTACCTGAAGCAGGGAGGCGTGTTGTACAGGGAGTTGTTCCCGGCCTGCACTTTGTACTCCAGCACCGAGGGGCACTCTCGGAGGGCGAAGCCCAGCAGGTCATCTCGGATGATCACCACTGTGACCCCCGCGGAGCCGACGTTCTTCTGCGCGCCAGCGAAGATCACCCCAAACTGGAACGAGACACACCACTGTGGGCGCACGTGGCCATCTTTCCGAAATGAGTCTAAACTCCCCAACCTCTTTGCCGAGCGTGATTTCCATGAGGGGTTGCCTGCTGTATTTCTGTTCAGAGTGTATTCTCTTCTCTAAGGAATCTCCATCTGACACTTGCGAGCGCTGAAGCCTAGAGTATGTCCTGCCCGGTCCTTCTCCCCCAGGAAGGGGCTAGCCCGAGGCCCGCCCGATAAAGACCTCATACATACTCATCCTCACCCTGCATCCTTTCTATCTACACCCACGCTAGTCTTTAAAACAGGGAGGCTAACTGTCCTGGGTAACCAAAAACACCAGAATTTTTTACCCATTTATATTTGTATAAAGGGGCCATCAGAAGAATGCTGATAAATGAGAGAAGCTGCCTGAGAGAGAATAAATTTTAGAAAACAAATCTTTAGCCGAAACCGGTTTGGCTCAGTGGCTAGAGCGTCAGCCTGCAGACTGGAAGGTTCCAGGTTCGATTCCGGTCAAGGGCATGTACGTTGGCTGCGGGCACATCCCCAGTGGGGGGTGTGCAAGAGGCAGCTGATCAATGTTTGCTCTCTCATCGATGTTTCTAGCTTTCTATCCTTCTCTCTTCCTCTCTGTAAAAACTCAATAAAGTATATTTAAAAAAACAAAACAAGAAAAACAGATCTTGAAAGTTTCTTCAGGAAATTTTGTCATACTAGAGTCCCGATGCACAAAATTCAACCAAGGGGCTCGGCCCTTGCAGCTGCACGGCTGCCTTGGGCCCTCCTGGAAAGTTGGGAAGGTTGTCTGGATGGTCGTTCTGCTGTTCAATCTAATTAGCATATTAGCTCTTTATTCTATAGAATAAGATACAGAATCCTCTCCCATGTGTCCCCATGGTAGTGTCCTAGGTGGGAAGAGGGAGCAGTCTGGCCGGGCAGGCAGAGTATTTTATACTCGATATTGTTTAGAATTGTCAGTGCACAGTGACTGGTAATACATACCAGGCTATAACCAAAATGTGGTATATGCATACCATGGGATATTATGCAGCCTTAAGAAGGAATGAGGTTGGCAAGTGCTATCACAAGGATGAGCCTCAAGGGCATCTTGCTAAGAGAAGAAAACCAGATACAAAAGGCCAAATATTGCATAACTCCACTGATGTGAGATAACTAGAGTGGTCATATTCATAGACAGAAAGTACAAATGGTGGTTACCAGGGGCTAGAGGAGCAAGTACTGGGGAGTTAATGTTTAATGGGCACTGGGTTTCCGTGCAGGAAGAGGACAAGCTCTGAAGATGGATGGCGGTGGTGATTACACAACACTGTGAATGTACTGACTGCCACTGAACTGCACTGAAAACGGTTAAAATGACAAATTTTACGTTAAGCATATTTTAGCACAATTTTTTTTAAAAAGGCAGATTTTCTTAGTCGGTTTGTTTTCCATTCCTCACAGATATTATACCACCTGTTATAGGCACACTACTCCCACTGCCCACCTTCGTGTGACACTGAAAGTCTACGTGTGTCCTGATGCTCTTGGCGTTGAGGTGGGTACAAGGCGGGGCGGGGGCTCCTTCACAGGCACCCTGAGCAGGGATAATCTGCATCTTTCCTCCAAGACAGCAAGCCACTCCCAATTCATTGATCGAAAAGGTTTCTAAGAGCCACTCTCAAAGGCAGATACATTCCTGGTGGACTCGAGTGTGACCCTGGGAGGCCTTCCTTCACACGGGGCTGGGAATGTCAGGACTTGAGCATCTGACAGTCTATAATGAACACATGATACTGGCCTGCTCCCTGAGCTACCCTGGCTCCAGGGTCTCTGTAGGCCACGGCTCCCCACCCTCTCCCCATTCTAGTATCTATGAAAACGCCCTTAAAGAAACCGCGACGCCGGGGTCCCCTCTTTTACACTCTACCTTGGAAACGTCCACTGGCCTGGATAGGAAGTTGGAGGACATGTCGCAAACCAGCACTGCCCCCTTCACGTCGGGGACAAAGTCAAACTCCACGCCGTGCACCGTCTCGTTGGCACAGTAATACACGTAAGAAGCTTCCGGGCTGAGAGTCCAGGTGCTTGGGTCTGCGATCTCTATCACAGAAGACAAGTTGGAGACACGTGTACTGCCCTTTCCTTATGTAGATGGAGCCCTCCCACAGCAATGAGACCGATTGCATAGTATTCCCAAGTGAAAGTGCCGATCCATCCGGCATTATTATAATCACCACCTGCATCCTAAAAGGATGGTCCATCTCATCCTGCTGACGGTTCAATCTCCAGTTATGGCGGAATGAGTACGTGGGGTTTTTGCTCATCATCCTATTGGGTGGCCCAACAGTTCCCCCTATGGGGCTCCAGCCTCCCCATTCTCAGTCCATATGAATCCAGGGGAACCAGTTCCACCTGAAGCCTCAAAAGCAGCATGGGACCCAGGTGCTGTCACACGACTGATTTGGAGTGGGCCCTAGGAGACACGAGGCTGCTATTAGTGGAATGTGTGAGCACAGGCACTGAAACGTGGGAGAACATAAGGTCAGCAGAGGCTGCAGCCATCTTCTGAGCCCAAGGGGACAGCTTTCCTCAATGTGGGGCCACCACGGAGGACACAGTGAGATACCAGGACCTGGACATAGTGTTGGGGCCCTTGATCAAACCATCCCTAAGCCAAACCAGACCCTGGGCTTCTCAGCCAAATGAGCTTAGGGATGCTCTTGCTGCAGAACTTAGTAACCTCACCTAGTACAGCCACCCTGCTATCTAAATACTAACTACTGACTAGGAGGAACAACAACAAAAAACCCTCACAATTGCCGAGACCGGTTTGGCTCAGTGGATAGAGCATCGGTCTGCAGACTGAAAGGTCCCAGGTTCGATTCCGGTCAAGTACCTTGGTTGCGGGCATATCCTCAGTGGAGGGCATGCAGGAGGCAGCTGGTTGATGTTTCTCTCTCATCGATGTTTCTAACTCTCTATCCCTTTCCCTTCCTCTCTGTAAAAAATCAATAAAATATATTAAAACACACACACACACACACACACACACACACACACACAATTGTAGATTGTCCTGAGGAGGAACCACCCGCCAGTCATTACAGTCCACCTCAGCTCCCAGCACTTACTTGTATAACTCCCAAGTTTAGGGTGGACGATGTTCACAGTCCCAAACTTTTTGGCTTCTTCTGCAGCTTTCGCTGACCAAGCTCCTGTCACCACATAGTCGGCACACCTTGCTGCTTTCAGTCCAATCAGGTTTAAGGGGACAGCACTGAACTGGCCAGACCCACCTCCTTGCACAAAAATCACCTTGTAGTTGTCTGGAACAGTTCTGGGCAAAAGCACAGGAGACAGTAACTAGAGACTCACAGGGTCAAAGATGGAGCATGAGTGATGCTCTGTCAGCACTGGTCCTTGGGAGGATATACCATAAGAAATATGGCAAAGCCCCACCACCACTTTGCCTTCCCCTATCCATTCACTATCTGTTCACTCCTTGGACAACTATTGGTGGGCCCTGGGGTGGCAGCCTACGGTCACTGTTCAGACAGAAACTAGTAACAGCCAGCTGCTCCCTTGGGATATCATCCCACTGTCATTCTCAGTCCACATGGTTAAAGGACAAACAACTCCAGCTCCAGGGGACGAGCATGTGACACAAGATGGCCAATGGGGTTTGGTTCTGAGAGTTTTGATCAAACTTTTGGGAAAGAAGAGCTATTCCTATTGAGAGGAAGAATGAATGTGTAGGAACTAACCCTGCAGTCAATGGTGGCCATCTGATGAAGCTAGCACATAAGTAGCAGGGCCAGATGGAGAAAAAGACCTTCCTGATATCAACCGAGCTCCTAAATCACTCCTGGACTTGCCTATCACGTGAGATATGTTCTTTTTTTGTTTGCTTGTTTTTCAAATACAAGCAGGAGTTTATTTAGAATGTCACAGAGGTAGAAAAAATGAGCCAGCGGGGCTGCATGGGCTCAGGAAACAAGTTACAGAGGCAAAGGAAGGGCTCTTGAAGCTTAGGAGAAAGAAAGTAAAGGTAACCTGCTTGGAGAAAGTGAGGTGGGTAAGAGTGTGGGAGAGGGAGAAAGGAAGAGACCCATATATTCCTTTTTTTGGGGGGGGAGGGGAGGGGAGTTGAGGGGGAAGATAAGCCAGGAGTTGGGTTTCTGTCCTTTGCAACCAAAAGTCCTAAAAGTATTGATGTGCTGGTCCATGCTATGAACCAAGTGGACCCTGGAAATCCTTCTGAAGCATTTATCAAGGCAATTTAGAAGGAAAGAAATGAAACAGTACAATTCCAATTAACAATGATTATTATTCCATTAACAATGATTATTCCTGACTAGTGGGGTTATAGACAAGTCCAGTTTAATTTCTGAGTTGATTTTTTCTAAATTTCTATCTTGAACATGTACTAGAGTTTTGTGAGCAGGAAAAAAAATAAATGTGCATTTCTAAGGTTATCATATTCTTTTACGTGCAGATGTTGATAGTACAAAACCTCTCCTTTAAACAGAAGTGTGTCTAAGAATAAGTTTCTTCTGGATAAGAAAAGCAGTACAGTCCTGGCCGGTTGCTCAGTGGTTAGAGTGTCAGCCCGTGGACAGAAGGGTCTCGGGTTTGATTCCTGGTCAAGGGCATGTACTTGGATTGCAGGTTCACTCCCTGCCCGCTCCCGGGGGCACTTTCAGGAGGCAACCAGTAAGTAGATGTGTCTCTCTCACATCCAAGTGTTATTGTTTTTTTTATCTCCCACTCCCTGCTCCCTCCCACTCTCTCTGAAAGCAATGGGAAGAATATCCTCAGGGGAGGATTACCAAAATAAAAAATAAAAAGAAAAGCAGTACAGGCAACCTAGAAGGGGTTCACTAGCATGGCATTTTTCTGGAATTAACCCAAAGAGCCTGTTAAAATGAAGTTTCTACAGAGATTTAACAGCAGTCCAAGATGAGGCCCAGCATTTAAACTTTTTAATACCTCCCTTCCCCCAGGTAATTCTGATAGGCAATATGAGGATCAGACTGCCAGACACAGTGACCTACAAGTGAGTAATGCTGATAAGATGACCAGATATCTCTTTGTCATTTAAATCCCTTTTAGGCCAGCTGAACTTCTGGAAAAATCTTTCCCAGATATGACCATTTCAAATCTCTGGAAATAACTACAAAACATAAACACACACACAAGTGCAAGATGGGGAACAATTTAATGGCTTTGGAGACATCTTAATAAGACTAGTTTTACTTATAGAATATTTTAAACAGCAGAGTATAGAGAATAATGTAACAGACACCCAGGTACATATGTCATCAAACAAAAATAATGCAGTTTGGTCTTAAAACTTTAAACTTACAGCAATTCCCGCACAAGATTCTCTGTGTTGTTAAGAATCTTAGCGAAATCTGCTGACCGGTGGCTCATTTCTGTGGAAGGAAAGACAAACAACAAAATAAGTTCCAGTTCAAAACCAAATGAACACAAGTAACTTCAGAAAGAAGGGCAAGATTTGCAAGTAAAAAAATAAGTAGGAATTTCAGTTATTTTGCATTCAATGGACCTTAATGATTTCCATATTGCAAGCACTGCAGCCTCATATCACAGCAGGATGGCTTTCAAGTGGCAGCTTCAGTCTGTGATTTCTCACCTTTAACATGAACATGAGCCTGTGTGCAATGTTTGCCCTCTGGGACAACAGCACAAAATTCTACACTATACTCTCACCTCACAGATACCTAACTGCATGTCCCAAAACCCACAGGAACAATATTTAATAGCAATGAGCATACTGATAACCCTACGGTGTCTTAATACTGTGTAGCCTTTGAAACTACAAGGAAAATAAATAAATAAAAATAAAGTAAATTTTAGAACTCAAAGGTTCTCTTCTTTAATAAAAGAGAATCTTAATGAAATTATTAACAGGAAAGATCTTCCTAAGAACCTTGTATACTTTTAAATTTTTAATTAAGTTCATTTTTAAGTGTAGGAAAAACAAAATGAACGTGAAGTAATATATTTGGGATTTGGGAATGCAAATGTACTCCGGGTCTCAGGCTCTATGACTAGCAAAAGCATAGCTAAGATGTACGAAATCTCACCAGCATTTGTGTATGTTGTTTTCAAAATTGCTTCCATCAAACATGTAACTAAAATTAAGTAAATCTTACCGAGAACACTAATCCCGACGCCTTTGTAGTCTAATAATTCTTTTTGTATCTCTAACAATACCTAGAAGAAAACATAAAAGAAAGTAGATGATTTGAATATTCTGTGCACAGCTCTCCCTCTGGACACACAAACCAGGGGTGGGGAAGGGCATGGAACAGGAGCAGCCCATAGGCCTGTGAGATCTGGAGGCTTCTGTTCCCACCCACAACCACTTCCCTTCTTCCCACAGAGCCCAGAAGACACCATTTTCCCAAAAGCTGAGTGTGAAATTACCAAATGTGATTGATGCTATGATAGTTTTTCCAAAGGTTTGAATTAACTTAGACATAAAAAATAAATGGGAGCCCTTGCTGGTTTGACTCAGTGGATAAAGCCTATGGACCAAAGGGTCCAGGATTGGATTCCGGTCAAGGGCACATGCACGGGTTGCAAGCTTGATCCCCAGCAGGGGATTCTCTCTCATCATTGATGTTTCTAACTCCCCCCTCTTCTTTCCTCTCTGAAGTAAATACAAATACTTTTTTAAAATTGTATTTAAAAGAACATGACCAAGTATACAATTTTTCTGATGCAACTCAGTATGCCCTGGCGAGCCCCTTGACTATGTTGTAGGATCATCGCCACCGTCAGTTTCACAGGGGCCACAGGGCAAGCAGGACCCAGTTTAGGACCAATCTCAGTGCCAGGAAATGGGAAGGAGGGGAGTACAAGGGCTGCAACCAAATCTCTCCTAAACCTCTCCCTAGCTGGGGAGGAGACCCTAAAGGCAAGTAAAATGAAAATAACTACAAACAGATAAGGAAAATACCTCTTTTTATTTTTTTTAAAAAACAGCAAGCCCTTATCAGAGATGCATGCTGATAAGTTTATGAATTAAACAACTGATAGCTCCATTGGCGGAGGGGAGAAAGGTGTGTGTGTGTATATAAGAGTGGAGCGGGAGCGGGGGAAGGGAAGGAGAAGGGGGTGGCTGAAACAAGATTGGAAAAATGTCCATAGTTGTTTAATATCAGAGATGGACCAATGGCTTCTCTACTTCCGTGTACGTGAGAACTACCACAAAGTCAAAAGAGGAAAAGTTCGAAAAACAGGTGAGGTAAGACCTCTTTAGAAGCGTCCAGCCTTCAGAGATGGTTTCTTTTCACAATACAGGCTAAGGAGGACGTAAAACCATACAAACTGGATTTCAACTTGTCTGAAGAAACAAGATTTGAATGGCAAAGAATCAGACAAAAAAGATTCCATTTAAAAGGAGGTTCAAGAATTTGTCATTGTTTTGCAAACTGTGGGGTGCTTATTAGCACTGGCTAATCAAATAAACATCAGTAAACAGAAACACCAATCTGAGATAGAATCATCTCTGAACTTCTGTTTGAAACTATTTCTCTTATAGGCAGTAAGTATTCTTGGAAGACGCCTATAAGTTTGTATCGAAAATCATTCCGAAAGAGTTTTAAGACTTCTACCCATAAAGCACAGCCCCTTTAATCCAGTGGAGTTCAGTTTTTTCAAACTGCAGAATGCTTTTGTGGGTCACAACGAATTTTTTTTTTAATGAAACTGAACAGACTAGAGTGGAATAGAATACAAACTGTGCATGTCATAGCTAACTAGGCTATTTCTTAAGGCTTTTGTTTTGGTTATAGTACATACATGTACTTGGTCATTTTATAAAAAGGTTTCCATTGTGATTAGAGTCAAAGTTTTAAAAGCTTCTCTAATTCTTTTAATTCAATTAAATCAAGTCACATACAAAGCCAACATCTGCCCCCATCCCTACCCTCACCCCCAGGTTAGAGGGCTTATCTGAGGGCTAAAAATCCTCCCCAGCCCTAGCTGGTTTGGCTCAATGGATAGTGTCTGTCTGAAGACTGAAGGGTCCCAGGTTGGAGTCTGGGCAAGGACACATGTCTGGATTGCAGGATTGGTCCCCAGTAGGGGGCATGCAGGAGGTAGCCAATCAATGATTCTCATCATTGATGTTTCTTATTTTCTTTTTTCTTTTTAAATATATTTTACTGATTTTTTACAGAGAGGAAGAGAGAGGGATAGAGAGTTAGAAACATTGATGAGAGAGAATCATCGATCAGCTGCCTCTTGCACACTACCCACTGGGGATGTGCCCGCAACCAAGGTACATGCCCTTGACCAGAATCGAACCCGGGACCTTTCAGTCTGTCAGGTCGACGCTCTATCCACTGAGCCAAACCAGTTTCGGCTCATCATTGATGTTTCTATCTCTCTCTCTCCTTCTTCCGTCTTCTCTAAAAATAAAAATATATTTTAAAAAATCCTCCCCAGAAATTAACAAACAATTGTATTAATGATGACAACAGCCATTATAATAAGTGGCAGTTTATTATAATAAGAAACCAATTTCATAGGAAGCAATACTGAATCCAAAAGATGAAGAGGGGAAAACGGTGAGGAGGCTTCCTACAGGAAACATTTCCACAGCTCTAGCAAAGAATCTGGCCTAAAACCAACTACAATAGCTAAGAGAGAAAAAAATAAGTCCTGTTCTCTAGCTACTGTGAGCGCTGCCCATAGAAAAGTAAAGATGTCCTTTCCCACCGAAAACTGTAAGATTCTCTGTTCTTACAACACAGAGGCAGCTCTGTCCCAGGGAGATTTCCACCCTGTTCAACAAAAGATAATTGTAACGTACTTTGGCGGCGCCGCATGTTGCTACAACATATTATCAGTCATTTTGGTTGAAAATAAAAATCTAACAGTAGCGGTACAGACTGTCCACGCGTTCAAGTCACAACAGAGACTTCGCCTGCTTCACAGCTGCTACGGGTTGCGGGGGAGGGGGGGGGGTGCGGCAGCCACCTGGCACCTGGCAGGGAGTTGGGCAGGCAGAGAGAGAGAGAGAGAGAGAGAGAGAGAGAGAGAGAGAGAGAGAGAGAGAGAGAGAGAGTGAGAGAGTCAGCCACTTGCATTTGACAAGTCTGCAGGGGCCCAGGGAGAATTTAATCATTCATCACTTGCTCCAGAACGAAGTGAAGCGGACTGGGCTAGCAGCCAGAGGCCTACCAGAGTATGAATACTCTAATGCCTTTGGGCTTTGGGGAGCGGAGGGAGTCAATACGATTTTTAAAAATCTACGCGCAAAAAAAAAAAAAAAAAAAAAAAAGGCGGACCAAAAGGATTTAGGGGTAGTTCTGATGGTGAGAAGGGAGCACTGGGAGATTTTCAATTTTACATTTTGAAAAGCAATGTTCCCGAGGGCTGGCTAACCCAAACAACTGTTTACGGGCAGCCAAGCGCGGTCCTCTGGTTTCGCCATCCCCGTTCGCCATTCATTCACACGGCGCCCATGCATGCATTCACTCCGCACCGCCAGGCTCGCTGCACCGCCCCGCGAGGCTAACGCAGGACAAGAGGCTTCTCTTCGCCGCCGTGCCCACGCCGGGCCTGAGCCTGCAGGAGTCCCCAGGTGTGCACCACGGCGGGCCAGCAACGCTCCGGCGGGGCAGACCGGGCACGCCTCAGAGCAGCTGCACCGACATGCCTCCGAGCTCCCTCCCCCGCAAGTGTGTTTTTCCAGAAGCCCACGTGCGGAGGATCCTGAACCGGGTGCACGCTGGTGCAGAGCGTCCGCGGGACTCCGAGCCGGAAAGGGGATCCCAGCGCCCCACGAGGAGACAGATGCACAGCTCCCCGCGCAGGATGATGCTCCGCCACTCGCACGCGTGCTCACGCCCGGACTGCGCTTTCGGTACGCGATCGCTAGGACTTACCGAGCGCGGCAGCTTGGCGGGCCCGGGCCCGAAATTGACCACTTTTCTTGGGGCGTCCATGGTGCTGCGTGGCACGCGTGGCGAGTTAGCAGGAGAGAACTGGCTGCACGGGCTGCGCGAGTCTGTCGCTGGCGCGGACCCTCGGCCTCTTTCCAGAACCTAGCCGGCGTCCCCGATTGGCCCGCGCCGTAACAGGCCCTGCTCTGATTGGTCCTCTCCATGAGGCTTGCATCCCATTGGTGGCGCTCGCTAGCGGGGGCCGGAAACCGTAGCTCCCCCTCGGGTTTACTGTTTCAGCCTTTTCTTTGATCTATGCAAGGCGTGCGGGCGATTGCACCAGCCTGCCGGCTCCCGAGCGCCCCCGCCGGAGGACCGTGGGCGGAGGGAAGGACGCGCATTCAGGCTTCTGCGCCTGGAATCCGACCAATTCCAGTCCTCCGGCCCTGATCCCAGACTCTCTCTCTTGCCCAGAAGGGGGTATGCAGAGTAAATCTCAACCCCTCCTCCCATCCAACCATCTATGCTCCGCCTCTAGCCCCTGGGCGCTGATGCATTTGTTTCGCAACCAGCAGCCATTCATTCCCCAAACTTTTCTAAGCATCCTCACGGCGCCAGACACTCCAGTGGACAGGCAGGGCTCCCAAGGATAGAGTTGTAGGGCAGTAAAGAATTGGCCCAGAGTGGATGGATGGGTGAGGTTCTTTGCACGGACATTGGAGTCCCAAATTCCTGCTGGATTAAAGGATGGAGGTAGCTAAGGATTCTGGGAAGATCCCTGGCCTGGGAAACCTGGGTGCCCCCTCAACCCTCACCCACCCAGGCAAGTCCTTAAAAGTTGCTGATTCTTCATTTCCTTTTGTGAAACCAGCGAGCTGGAACCTGGCAGTAGCTCTCAGGTTCTCCAGCGCTGACAAGCTGTGAGTTTAGAAACGTGAGGAGATATTAACAGGAATGTGATACTCTTGTGGGGAGCTGCAGCCCAAGCCAGGCAGAGGCCCAGAGCCAGGCCGGGCGCAGGGCCAGCAAATGCTCAAACGTTTCTACAATAGAGTCCTGCTCCAGTTCCCTGAGAGATCCACATGGGGTTCTGAAACAGGGAGGCTCCCTCTCCTGCAAGGAAGAACTTTCTCTGAATTCTAGAATTTCATCATTTTTAAAAGTGTGAACTAGTTCTCCATGATTTAACCTACTTTCTTTTAATATAAAAAATATATTTTCCCAAATCTTTGAGCAAAATTGATGTGCCAGGAATACACACAGTGCCTGTCTTGGGGTTTTCTGGAACACTAGCCATGCTGTCAACTACCCCTTTCAGAAGGCTTGAAAACGGTCAGGGTTTTGGCTTTTGTTGCTTTCGATGGTATGCAGTAGGCAGGATGGGGATGGGAACAGAGGTACTGCTGTGGGAGCTGGAGGGAAAAGTTTCTAGAAAGAGCTGAAATGAACAAGGCCAGTGCCTTCCTCAGCACCTTCACTTAGCAAGTTGCAAAATTTCATGAGAAGTGTTAAATAAAATTCAACTGAGTAAATTTGAAGATCTAATTGATTTTTTTAAAAACAATTCATGAATCTAGGCACCACGGACCTGGTGCCAACAAACACTCAGCTTCCCTCAAGAAAGACACAGGCCCCGCCACCATCCGGGAGCAACACCCCACCAAATCACTGCCAAGACCCATGGAGCAAAATGTGGCCCACAGCTCAGCCCAGCATGAGACCGGTTGCTGTAGGAACTAGGTAATGATGTCATGTAGCAATGCCCTTCTTCCTTTCCCTAGCAACTAGCCTCCTTGGAGTTTCCTCAGCCAGGAACCTGATTTGCTTTTCAGCCAGGTGCAAACATTTTACAGTTTCACCAAATGTTTGTGAAGTGTTTTCATGTGCCTTATTTCATTCTATCCTGGAGTAGGTAGATAGGAGACTCAGTAGAAATCTATTTTCTTTTCATTAGCCGAAAAACAAAGATTTAGAAAGTTTAGAAACTTGACCCAACTGAAAACAAGTAAGAAATGGTGTACCTTGAAAATGACTTCAGGTTTTCTCACTGCTCAGAATATAGCCAAACACTGCTGCAGTTAAATATTTTACCCTTTATTCTCCCTGTATAATCTACAATAATATCTGCTTTGTGTTGATACTTACTCCTGTGTTTCTGACAATTACCTGAAAGATAAGTTGGAGTGCTTCACTGGGCTGGGAAAAGTTTAGCTACATCAGAAAGCAGGTCTAATTAAGTAAGTTTATTTTATATCTATAAAAGGCTAAGTTGACTCATGCATGCGTGACACATATAAAGCTCTCACTGACACCAATTGCACACATGTGTTTCAATCTATCATTGTCGATTGTGAATTTGGTTGACACTTCTATAATAGAGAAATAGCAAATAGCGATATTAAAATATTTATTCTAATTAATTTCCTTTCAATGTGCACAAATCAATGCACCAGGTCACTAGTTTAAAATAATGACTCATGCCGGGACTGGTTTGGCTCAGTGGATAGAGCATCGGCCTGCGGACTGAAAGGTCCCAGGTTAGATTCCGGTCAAGGGCATGTACATTGGTTGCGGGCACATTCCCAGTGGGGGTGTGCAAGAGGCAGCTGGTCGATGTTTCTCTCTCATCGACATTTCTAATTGTCCCTCTCAATTCCTCTCTGTGTAAAATCAATAAAATATATTTTAAAATAATGACTCATGCGAAGAGGGCATGTATGGGAGTGGGGGTGGAGGGGCAATGGAAAGATATGTACACAGATAATACCTTAATAAAAATAAAATAAAATAAAATAATGACTCATGGGCCCACAAGACCCTACTTGACCTGGTCCTTAATCACCTCTTGGCTAAGTCCTTGACTTGTCCAACCTCCAAACTGTCCCTTCAGTCCCAGGGCCCTCTCAAGCTCTTTTCCTCCCCAGCATTCTCTTCCTCCAGCCTCCTCAAAGCTGGCTCTGTCCAATCTGTGGTCCACAGTTTAGACACCATCTCCTGACCACCTTATCAAAAGTACCCCTTGCCAATCCTCCAGTTCTTCTTCATCATATTTCCTAGGCCATTTCCCTCATACCATCCAGTCTCTGAAATACTGGTGTACTTGTTAATTTTCCACCTTAAAATGCACCTTCCCTGGGAGCTGAGACTATGCTAGCCTTGTTCAGGGCTACATGCATGGTTCAGGCATGGTGTGCACTTGATATTTTGGGAGTAAATGTACAGGACAGGAAAAAGGAAATAGTGGGCAGGGCTGACAGTCTTTGTTGCTATGAGAAAGAAATTGTGGGCATCTATTATTTCTCCAGAATTTTCTAAAGTGAACAGCAGAAACTTAATAATCATCTTTGTAAAAGTTGGTTGTTTTTTTTTTAAGAGTGGGGTGAGGGTAGGTATAAACCATCAAGCAACTCTGGTGAGCCTCTGCGGAGGTCAAATGGCTGTTGCTGTCTCCAGTACTAACATGTCACTATGCAATTAGAATTCTAGGTCAGAGTTTTCACTGTCGAGTGAGGCTGCATAGAAAGATCACTGAATCACTTACTTCTATCCAATCAACACCAGATTCATTCCCTCTTTTCTGACTTTGCACAACTACCCAAATTTCACAGCAGGCCTTGGCAAGTTGCAGGTTGTTGAAGGTGTGTTTTGCAGGAGAAGAAGAAGAAGAAGAGGTTGTGGAGGAGCAGGGCTGGGCAGCAGTACACATTTGTTTCTCAAACTCACAGAGCTGGAAGGAATCTTGAGATCATCTACCCACACGTTCTGAAAGGCAACCTCTCTCAGCATTATCCCCGGACAATGGGAAGGAAAATTACGTTCTCCTATAAATCAGCCCAAAGCTATTCCCAGATGAGTGCATAGGGCCTGGCGTGGAAACTTGCCGAACTGGGGAATGATGAAAGAATAATTATCATCTTTATACTGATACCATCTATCCCTCTAACTTGTAATGCCAAAACCTCTTAGGTAGAATCTCATGACGTGTGCCCAGGCTGTCCCCAAGAGTCTTAAATCTCTAGAGTGAAATAAACTTTCTTGGGTAACTAAAGATAATTAATGAACCCTAACCAGGTATCGCGATGATGTGGAACTCAGGTGTCAACAACTTTGTATGCATTCTGCATTCTAAGGGTATAGTTGAAAGAAAATGACCAAGTGTGCTTATGAAAAATAGAATGAAAAGCACCTACTTTTTTTCAAACAACATGGGATTATTTCATATATCCAAATATGGTTATTTTCAGTATGGCTTACTTAGGTTTTTGGGAATTTGTTATCAAATGGCAGATCTCAATTTTGGGAGCTCCTTCACTTTCTGATGAGGAAGGTGGCCCTTGGAGGTAAAGGGATGATGCTGGCTGGGCCAGTTCTGCCACCTGTGGCTCCACAGGTATGTTATCTCCTGCGCCTTGCTGGTATGCTGGTACTTGTTTTTCCGTTCAAGAAGGAAAAGCAGGAATCCAGATGAAGGACTTATCTAAGGTCACCAGGAATGTGGTCAATCAAACCAAGGAGATTTGGGTTGAAACCAAACCATTGCATTTCTAGTCCAGAGAATGTAACTGTCTAACACACACTTCCCTGCTTTTTAAAAGACTTAAAGACATCCATAAAGTTCATTTAAGAAGAGAGCAAGCTCAGAGAAATACAAGCTGAACCCAAGCAACAAATGAGATCTGGAAAGTGAAGGGTGTGAGCAGAGGAAGAGCTGCACAGGCAGGGACCTGCCTGCCCCGCCCTGCCCCCTCGGGTGATGCATGCTCTCCAAAGAGCAGGCCAGGGCTTCAGAGTGTGTTTGGTGAAGTTTTACTGGGGAGGCGCCCCTAGTCTCCCAGCCCCCAAGCTTACTCATGGTATCTTGAGTGGCCTGGGTTAAGATTTTCCATTTTTCTCTGTAGATTGATGGCCCCATTCCATCCCAAGCTACTTCTCACCTCTTTCCATCTGCTTTCCACCAAGCTAGCTGTTGTCATTGTCTTGATCTTCAGCCTTTCCGTAATTGCTGAGTGCCATGAGGATAGTCTAACCATCCTTGGAAGTATGTCTCAGTGGAGATGTTCTCT